CTCTTCCTCTCTTTCCCCTCTTTGTTTTACCTCTATTCCTTTCTTTCCTGGCCCTATTTACCTTTCTCCCCTCCCCCTTTGTCCACTCCTTGCGTCCAGTACTTGTCCTGTCTTCTAAGACTTCCCACAATCTTGCAACTGCCAATCACCAATGGGCAGGAATTGACAGCACGAAGGAAATAGTCCAACAAAGTAGATCGGAAACACAGGCTTGAATGTTGATATAGGAATGAAACATCAAACAAGAGGACTGCATCAGTGCCCGAACTGCTTATCAATCTGCCCTCTCGAAAATTGACGCACAGGCAGCCGGAAAAGAATGGATTAAGTCCACTACCGGCCTTGTTCTCCAAGCAAGGGCTTCTTGCCCATCGTCCTGCTCGTCCTCATTGATCATGTCCCTGAACAACCGTCACACAGAGAACAAGGCCAAGTAGATACGTGTAACCTGGTCAACTTCAGTCGGTGCGCTCTGGCTGCCAGGAGAGGAAACAGACAAAGATTCCGCCTAAGTTGGTTTCAGCCACATCAAAGTCCACAATCGTTTCCATTCCTATAAAACTCAAACCCACCAGAGTACAGCAAACCTTCCAAGCTTATACATACAGCAATTCCCACTGGCAGTTGGATTGGGGTCGAATCAAAGCCGTCTAGGCTACTGAAAGAGGGAATGTGTACATGCAGCTGATCATCTCGCCTGAAATGATATTGAGAATCAATACCAATGCAGCTCTCACAAGGTCAAGGACTCCATGATTCAGTGGCCTTCACAAGAACACAATAAAGCTTGCGTAAGCAAAATCTTCAACCATGCATGGACTGTGGATGAGATATCTAGGATAGAAAAAGTTAAAGTGGGAGAAGAGTCACGATGAGCATAGAAGGAGAAGAAGTGGGAGGAAGGGAAGGGGGGGAACTAGGAGTTACAGAAGTTTCTGGCGCCTCACATCAGGCGAAGAGGTTCTCCCCATACTTGCGGCGCCCTGATGCGGTGCGCTGAGCGGGGCGGGGCGCAGTGCGCGGGGCGCACATTTTGCAGCGAGCGCAATGTGCGCCGTGCGCTATGCGCTGTGCGCTGTGCGCTCGGTGCGCTGGGCTTCGCGGCCTGTGCGCTCGGTGCGCCAAATGAAAATATGCCCTGCATTTATCTTGCACAGGGAGGAAGAAGAGGAGGAGGAAGAAGAAGAAGAGGAGGGGGAGGAGGAGGGGGAGGAAGAAGACGAGGAGTAGACAGACGAGAAAGATATGGTGGAGGAGGAAGATATGGAAGAAGATGCAGAGGGCGAGGAGGAGTAGAAGTAGCTGCACCAGCAAAAAAAAAAACAAAAAAAAAACACGTGCCGCGTGGCACGTCAACGTTAGAGTACGATGAGGAGGATGAGGAGGAGGAGGAGGAGGAGGAAGAAACAGCAAAAGATGAGGAGTAGGAGTGGGAGGAGGCGGAGAAGGAAGAGAACTGCCCGAACAAAAAGAAAAGAGAAAAAAAAACAGCGTGCCTTGTCGCACTTTAACGTTAGAGGAGGATGAGGAGGAGGAGGAGGAGGAGGAGGAGGAAGAAGATGAAGAGGAGGGGGAGGAAGAGGGGGAGGAGGACGAGGAGGAGGAGGAGGACAAAGGTAGGGCGGCGGAGGAGGAGGACACGACAGAAGATGTGGAGGGCGAGGAGTAGGATAAACTTCCGATAAAGGTGTGGTGGAGGAGGACGAGGAAGAGGAGGAGGAGGAGGGAGATATGGATGAAGCAGATGAGGAGGAAGAGCAGGAGGAGAAGGAAGAAGAGGAGGAGGAGGAGGAGCTGCTTAGGCAAAAACAAAAAATAAAAATGCCACGTGGCATGTTCACGTTAGAGGAGGAGGAGGAAGGAGGAGGAGGAGGAGGAGGAGGAGGACGACGACGACGGGCACGAGGACGATATGAGGAGAGAAGTGGAGGATTAGGAGGATATGGAGGGAGAGAGGGAGAGAGAGAGAGAGAGAGAGAGAGAGCTGGTGGTACCCACAGCCATGGTTACTCGCTGCCTCCTGCCGCGACCACCCGCCACTGACTGCTGCCGCTGCCGCTGCCTCCGAAGGCCGTCTCCTCCCGCTGCCTCCTGCCCTAGCTTTCTCGACCCTCCCTCCTCCGTCCTCCCTCCTCTTTCCTCCCTCTTCCC